ACACATTCGCTTTCCCTGGATGAAAATCGATCACTACGTCATAATCCTTGAGAAATTCCACCCACATTCTCTGTCTTAAATTCAACTCTTTCTGAGTCATCAAGTACTTTAAACTCTTATGATCTGTATACAAGTAGCACTTTTCACCATACAAATAGTGACGCCAGATCTTAAGAGCAAACACTACTGCCGCCATCTCCAGATCGTGTGTAGGATAATTCTTTTCGTGTGGTTTTAGTTGCCTCGAAGCATAGACCACTACTTTGCCTTCTTGCATTAACACGCATCCCAAACCGTTATGAGACGCATCACTGTACACTATAAAGTTCTTGCTAGACTCGGGTTGAATCAACACTGGAGCTTCTGTCAAAATCTTCTTTAACCTTTCAAAACTCCCTTGACATTCGTGGGTCCATGAAAATTTTATCTCCTTTCTCAACAACTTAGTTAGGGGTAATGCTATTATGGAAAAGTTTTTAACGAACCTTCGATAGTAACCAGCTAATCCCAGAAAACTTCTAACTTTCGATATATTCTTTGGAACTTCCCACTCCAGAATAGCTTTAATCTTTTGAGGATCCACTTGAACTCATTCTGTAGAAATTACATGTCCAAGGAATGTCACTTCACTCAACCAGAATTCACATTTAGACAATTTAGCATAAAGTTTCTCATCTCGTAAAAACTGCAAGACAATTTTCAAATGCGAACTATGCTCTTCCTCTGACTTTGAATATATTAGAATATCATTAATGAAAACCACCATGAACTGATCTAAATAGGGTTGGAATATTCTCTTCATTAAATCCATGAAAGCAGCTGGTGCATCGTAACTCCAAACGACATCACGATAAACTCATAATGACCATACCTCATTCTAAACGTCGTCTTTGGAACATCTTTCTTTTGAATCTTCAATTGGTGATAACCCCAACGTAAATCAACTTTCGAGAATACTGAAACACCCTTTAATTGATCAAATAAGTCGTCGATTCGAGGAAGTGGATATTTATTCTTGATAGTCACTTTATTGAGTTGCATGTAGTCAATGCAGAGACGCATTGAACCATCTTTCTTATTAACAAACAAAACTGGAGCTCCCCATGGTGAGACACTCGGTCTGATAAAACCTTTATCCAATAATTCTTGTAATTGAATCTTTAATTCTTGCAACTCTTTTGGAGCCATTCTGTATGGTGCCATTGCAATAGGTGAAGTTCCCGACATTATTTCAATCTAGAATTTCACTTCTCTATCTGGAGGCAAACCCGGTAACTCTGCAGGAAAAACGTCAGAAAACTCTCTGACTATAGGAATTTTGTCAATCCCTTTCTTCTTGGTTCTAACATCCAATACATTAGCAATAAACTATTGACATCCCTGTAACATTAACTTCTTCGCCGACATTACTGAAATTACATTTGCCAATGGATTCCATCATTCACTAAATACCAGTCAACGTTACTCTTTTCATTCTACATTCAACATTAGCATAATAACGATATAACCAGTCCATTCCCAGTATCACATCGAATTCGTCAAAAGGTAATTCCATCAGATTAGTAGGAAATTCAATTCCCTGAATCCGTATGAGACATCCTCGACTCACCATATTTACATGAGCACTGTGCCTTAATGGATTCGTCACTATCACCTCATTGCTAGTAGTTTCTAACGGAATGTTCAATTCTCTCACTAACTTACTAGTAATGTATGAATATGTAGACCCCGTATCAATCAATACCATAACATATTTATCAAATAATAGAAAGGTACCTATTACAAATCTCTGGGTCATCCCGATCCTCATTGGTCTTGAGATTATACACTCGAGCTGTGGAGTGTATCTCTTGTTGAGCAGAGTACTCTGACTGATTTCTTCCTCTGCCTCTACCACTTCCCCTTTGACCTGCAGAAATAGACCTCTCTAGTTGTGCAGAATCATCGGCTACCATGGGAAAATCCCGAACAAAATATCCGGTCTCCCCACATCTAAAACAAGTTCCATAAATTATCCTACATATCCCTGAATTATTCTTTCCACAATGTGTGTGCATTGTCTGACTTGACTCTGATTAGCTCTCCCAGCTCCAGATCCCACTGACTGAGTTTGCATACCTCTCATTGGATTCGATCCTCTAGCGGAGGATACCACTGACTCTGATCTCCCTTGGGGTCGAGAACCAGTATCTTTGCCCCTTTTTGATGGTGCATAACTTGAAGAAGCACCCGTTCTTTTAACCGTCTGAGCTCTTAAGTGTTCAAATCTCTCATTCTGAGCTCTTTTCAAAGCTTTGGTATGATTGACTACCTCTTAAAATGAGGATAGATTCAATACAATCAGCATTTCCTTCAACCGAGGATGTAGCCCCTATACGAACCATTCACAAGCATCATTCTCTGTAGGAACAAGCTCGGCAGCAAAACGACTCAACTTATTGAATTCACACTCGTACTCATATATAGTGTGATTTCATTGCTTTAAATTCATGAACTCTTGTTTCATCTGTCGAACAAATTGATCTCCGATGTACTTATGCTTGAATTCTTCTGAAAAACAATGACCAAGTTACTGGATTACTAGACATCCTCAATGTAACATTGGTCCACCAAATCCTTGCTTGCCCTCTTAACAAGGAAATTACTCCATCTAGCTTCTCAGCATCGGAACAATGAAGTCCCTCAAGCATGACTTTCACGTCATTAAGCCAAAGGTCCGCTGACCTTCCTTAGCTTCCTCTCTAAACTCGGGAGATCCTAAACCCTTCAACTCTTTCGCAACATTCATTTTCGGAGTTGAAATAGTATGAGGTTGGAAACGCGTCAATACCACGTCTAACATTCTAAAGAATGCATCTTGACCATTCACAGGAACTCCAGAGGGTGTATTCTCTTCACTCTGCCTGGCCAGGGCAGGTGAATTGCTACTTACAGCGGGTCTATCATCTCCCGCTTCATTTCTAGAACTACCATGTCCGGACATCTATTAAGACACAATAATATCATTCTATTAGCAAAACAACATACTTACTATTCTATCAGATCAGAAGTTTTCACTATTTTGTTGGCATGTATACATTATAAGACACTCTAGACTTCAGTTTATACCGAGAATTACTAAACCGTAGCTCTGATACCATTAAATATAACACCTCTAACCCGTATCCGACCCAAATATGAGTCCAATGTGTCACATTGACTTTTCAAACTTTGTCACTTAAAGAAAAACAGGGAAATTTTAAACTTTCATTAAAACAAAATACGTTAATTTACATAAAAGAGATCATGAAATACAAAATCGATTAGATCATTCGTAATTAATAACTTATTACATGCCAATACTCTATACACAACACAAAATACCTACTTTTCCAATTACTTCTGATCTGATCTTTTAGTAATGATGATATTCTTGCCACTTCTAGTACTGCTCTTCTTGTTTCCTGGTACCTACGTATAAATCACTTACACGCTAAGTCATAGACTTAGTGAGGCAATAAGTAAACATGTAGCTATAGATTCATGAATATGCATTCTTACCATTTGATCATGACATTTCAATATGCATGTATATATTTCACTATAACCGATATAATCATGTCATGTACATATGAAACTTATCTTCTTGTATCACTTTCACCTTAATTTATCTTTCAATTGCCCATGTACATTATTGAGAACATAGGTATTTGAGTACATTGAGGTTGTGCACTAATGTTGTCACCACAGCTCAATAAATTCCCTCATGGGGCACTGAACATTTGTTCAGTATTTGTCCCGAATGACTAATGGATACGTCCTGAATGACTAATATACCCTCGACTCTTGGCATGCCAACTATATCTATAGCTCTCGTATCATATAACATGGGCTTTAATATGAATATATTTCTCATTTCATATCTCTTTCATCACTTTTCATATAAACCCATAATCTTTTCCATTATTTCACATACCTGGATTATATTCTCTGGCAATGATATTCGTTCCTTCAATGTCATATGAATATATAATGAATTATGCATGCAATCACTATTACAATAGTATATGTATGCATATACATGGGTATGGAATCATTAATTCAACTATCAGAGATAGGCTTATTAAAAGTCTTGTCTCTATACACTTTAACTATAAAATGCACTCACCTTAGCCTTTCTTTGATTCAATTCTAATCATTCGATTGTTTTGGAATAAGATTACGCTCTAAATCTACATAGTAATACATTGATACTTATCAGCATGCGAATTGATATATTCCAAACTATTAATCCTTAGGCTAAAAGAAAGCTATTTCCATCTCTTACTGAAGGTATGCATCGATGCACTACATCATGTATCGATGCATCCCTTGACGGGTGCTTCGATGCACTACACATGCATCGGTGCATAAATCCTATTCGATGTTTGTATTTTAAGCAGGTGTATCGATGCACTAATGTCATTCGATGTTCATTTATTTTAAATGAGTGCGTCGATACACTCCATGTGCATCGATGCACCTTCAACAAATTCTGGGATTTTCTCTTGATGCATCGGTACACGTTGAATGTGCACCGATGCACTCTGCCCAGAATTCATTTCTTGAACCCAAAAACTTATCCATTTCAGCTTAAATCTTTCATGTTTCATCCTCTTTTATATTCTTAACTCCAGTACACATACTTAAACCAATCTATACTCATTTATTTCATCTTAAACATCATAATCCTATCCTCCTTGTGAAATCCAAGAATTATACCAACTTTGCAACATGATTTAATTCCACTTCTAACCCTTAATATGTCTTAACTAGATTGATGACAAATCAAATTTAACATTCAATTCTAGATATGAACTCTATTTCAAGATTTCATTCAAGAACCTCTAATCTTTAATCTCTTCTAACTCCATCATCCTTTGATTTTAAGACAACCTAAGCTTACCTTAAGCTTAGTTATCATCTAATAATCAAAAACCAATTTTAAATTTAACAAGAAACTCAATAATCAGAAAACTCACCTTTGTTTTGCTTTACACGTACAAGGAAGAAAGAAGAAGAAAAGAACTCTAGAAGCCTTTGTGTTCTCCCCTCTTCAACCCACGTGTATACATATATAACCCTTCTTTTCTTATTTTATTGTAAATAACCTCTTTGCCCTTCTATTCCTTCTTCCTTTCAATTCAATTCCATATAATAATTTACAAATAAATCTTTATACTATTCAATCATTCTATTTTAAATCACCAAATTATGAGACTTTACAATTTAGTCACTAACCCGGTATTGAGAATGTTACAATATAAGGGTATTCCGAAAAATTATTATGTTATTAATTTATCGAAATTATTAATTTATACCTTGGGTCCAAATCGGGACCGAGAAAAAATATTATTTTAAAGAGGTTATTAATTTATCGAGTATTAATTTATATAGATTATACTGTATTTTACAAAAACAAAATCGTTTGAGACAATTTATTTACAAATATTTTAAGGCTAATTTCTGAATGACATATAACATCGTAAAAATTACTACAAAAATTCATATAAGAATAGACATACAATCGAGGTTAAAATAGACATTTAAAGTACTTTTTTCTCAAAATAGGTAACTAAAGTATTTAATATTTATCATCTAAATTTTAAAATGTCGACTCGTTTTATTAATTAAAAAATATATTAAGTACTTAGATGAAAAACTATTTATAATTCACTCAACATTTATTTAAAGATTAAATCGGATCATATATCAATATATTGCGATAGTCATGACACTTTAATATTAAGTATGTACAAGATATTAATTTCTTTTGATAAATTTATATTTTAATCGTTTAACAATGAGTAAATTAAAATCTTTTACACATTTAATAATAAAATGATTTAATTGTTTTAAATGATAAATAAAACAACTCTCTCTCTCGATTTTCTTTTTTTATAAGTTGAGTATATAGTGAACGTTATATACCGATGTATATAAATAAAAAATAAGATAAAATTTACAAATAATTATTAAATTATGATAAAATAATATTTTAATATAATATAATCATTTTAAAAATTATCCTATAAAATTAATAATATATATATCGATGTGTAACATCTATTCTAAAATTTGCTCATCTTCCACTTCTAAGCAATATGTAGTTTACTCGATAAACCATCCTCAACCACATAAATAAGTTAATACAAGGATTTTTTTTAGAAAATATCATTATATTAACCTATATGTTTATATTTTTTTACGAACTTAACGATCCTAATGCAGATATTATATACATAAGTTTATGTAACAAAATGTTAACTTTATGTTTTGACCACCTTAAACTGTAATTCCCTTATTAGCAATAACCAATAATAGAAAAAAATCAAAAGGAAAATAATAATAATTAAAAAAAAGGTTAAAATAGGGCGTAGAAAGAAGAGAGAAACGGGTGTGTTTGGTGAGAAGAAAACATAAAAGCGCCGTATTAGATAAGAGTATTGGACTTGAAAGTTTTGAAGAGCGAGAGATAGTTGCTGCACACAATCACAAATCTCGTGCGTTAAACGTTACGAATGCTTTTGCTGAAGCCATTGTTAAGTTGTATATTCGTTGGCAGATCTTGAGGAAGAGGGAAATGGAAATGCAAGGAGGGGAAATGGAGAAAGATTTCGTGTTGCAATGGGGAAACAGAAAGAGGCTAAGATGTTTCAACAAACTCAAAAAACAGCATCAGCGCCACTTTATCAAAACCAGCAGCGGCGTCGGTGCTGGCGGTGGAGGCGGCAGCAGCTTGACAACGCCACAGTCCTCTCCTTTGGCCAACAAGAAAATGGGCTCCTCGCCTGTTGTCAATCGTCACAAAATGTAAGATAAAAAAGGGGGGAAAACAATTTCTTCACTTTTTTATTTTGTTTATTGATTACCTATAACTACTAAATGAGTTTTGAGTGTAACCATAGATCTGGGATTTGGGGTTTTTTTGGCCAGGAATTCGGATTTGGGAACGAATAAGCCAAGATCGGCATTGACATCACCGGAGAAGGAAGATAGGTACTATGCAACAAGGGGATCGGGTTCCTTGATGTTGGATGATAATAACAATAACACAAAGGGTTTGATGGATCAACAAGTTAAGGAAGATAAGAAGATTGTGTGGCCAAGATTGTTCACCACATTATCTAACAAAGAAAAAGAGCAAGATTTCATGGCTATGAAGGGATGTAAGCTTCCTCAAAGGCCTAAGAAAAGAGCTAAGTTGATCCAAAGAAGCATTCTCGTGAGTTCAAATCTACCCTTTAAATTCCTTTTTGCGGAGATTTAGATCTTCATTTTCGTTTACTCGTTTATGGGGTTTGGTCTTGTGTAGTTGGTGAGTCCAGGGACATGGCTATCAGACCTCTGCCAAGAGAGGTATCAAGTGAGGGAGAAGAAGACTTCAAAGAAGGTATAAATTATTTAGTTTTGGCATTTTGAACAAATCATTTCTGGGTTTTGATGGATGAATTGCTTTTTGTTATAATGCAGAAACCAAGAGGATTGAAGGCCATGGGAGGTATGGAAAGTGATTCTGAAAGAGATTGACTGATAAATTTACAGAAGAATGAATGAATCAAACTCTGTTGCTTTTTGGGCATGAAGAGAGATTATAGCTTTTATTTTTCATCTTTTTTTGTAATATTTTTCTTTCTTTTCTTATATGGTGCCATTGTAGAAAAGAGAAAAGGGGAGAAATAGGGTTTGTTGTTTGTACTTGTTCTTTGTAGGTGGCAAAAATTATGATCAAATTTGGAACTAATTAATTACTCCATTGCAGTTTTTATACAAACCCAAAGGCACAGATTCTATTACTCATGATACTGTCACAGTGATCAATCTATAACTATTTTAAAATTTTATGATTATTTTGTAAAAAGTAATAAAAACGATAAATTTTAACATAACAATTCAGTAACTTATGGTCTACTTTTATCTTAGACTGAAATCATACAAAAGATGGAACATTAAATTATATGAGAAAAAGGATTATAAATAAATAACAAAAGGACTTCAAAACTGCAGCTGAAACTGTCAAAGCACACTCTTCACAGCCGCTATGCTCTTCTACTTCCCTAATTAGTAATTCTTTTATATATGCCTTCTAACTTCATTTATTTACATGAATGGTCCCCTGTACTCCTCAACTCACTCACTCACAAATACTACCTACAATGTATATAGTTAATAATCAATCTGTCATGACTATGAGACCCTCGCCCAATCTCACCATTCTCCAGCGGGAAAATAATCCAAACATTATGCTTCCGGTATTCGAGAATGAATGAACATATTGCTTTCAGTTGTCAAAATTCAAATCAACTGCTAACTCCCAGCATCCTTGCAGCTGAGAGCTCCCGTGGTACGTTTAACTGCTACACAAGACACTTCAATATCAGCTTTGTCTGACTAAGAAAAACACTGGCAAGTCGTTAGCCGAGAAGTCAGGGAAAAAAAGTGTGTTGAATTACCTACCATCTTTAGCTTGATTTGGTCCATTGAGACCTGCCCCACAGGCGCACACAGCTTCATGGACAACACAAGCACCCAAAAGCTTTAGCAGCATGGCCTCAGCCCGAGAGACAAGCAGACTAGAGAAGCCACCACCAATAACTACAAAGGTTCCAAGAATACCGACGCTTTTGTGAATACAGAAACAACAAATGGTGCCTCTTCCCCTGCATGTATGGTTGTAGGAACTATTGTGTAACCCTTGGGTTCAGGCTCTAAAACCATTTCACACGATATATCTCGAGAATTCACATAATCTGTGCCTCCAACAGATTCATGTAGGTAAATATTGTAAGCAGCACGATGGCCGCAGGTTTTGAGTATCCTCATTCCAATATAGAACATCTGTGAGTCATGACTAGATTGATAGTTTCTAAAACCGGCTGCAGTTCTTGAGAAGCTAATGCCCTGAACAATTAATGCCACTGAAGGTCAGAAATTTCTTGAAAGTAGAGAAAAGGTAATAAACTCGATGAAGATCCATTATGTTGTATACCTGAGTTAAGGTGATGAACACGTGAATTGGATAAGAAGCATCTGGACCAGTTGCCCTCAATCGGAACTGGGGATTTTGATGCCACGAATTATAATCCTGACATCCACCAGCACTGTAACCACGCCATTGTCCATGGACAGAATAGCGCATCTCAGGAGGGTAGACCCGACATACATAAATTGATCTGAAGTGAATTTGAAAGTCTTGCCATGACATCCAGAATATACCATCTTTTGACTGTTCAACAGGAATCAATTAAGTCATATAAAAATGAAACTCAGTTGAAGAAAACACGGCCTAAATAAATGCATTTATCAAATATTCAAGCCAGAGCAAAAGGCACCAACCTGAGGAACATGCTTCAGCTTAAGCCTCATCCTATCCATCCATTCTGAAGATGAATCAGACCAGGGACCATTCCATTCAACTAAGTTAGCCCAAGGGTTTCGAATTTGAACAAGCTTGTGTCCATCCACCTCTCTTACCTGGATAATTAATACGAATCATAATCTCTATCAACAGTTCTTTAACAGTTACTTCACTATGCAGAGCAAATTAAGAGGTTGCATTCTAGCATACCTGAAGTAATGAGTATGCATGTCCTTGCACAATGCCACTGGAAGAAACATGCACATCAGAGGACTTCCAGCACCAAGAAGAAATCCTTGTTTAAACCGCAACAATTGAGACCATAGTCTATCACTAGCAAGATCTAACTGGGCCTGAGGACTTCTCATGTCAATCTCCTCGCCAGCACCTTCAGTAAGATCAACAAGTGCATCCTGAACAAGCCCACCTTCTAGGGCTTCATAAGAACCATGGAACTTTGCATATGCCTTCTCCAATATAGAAACCCACAGTTCAATACCCTTCCTGCTGGTTGCAAATGCTGGTTTGCCAGGTGATTCACATGGAACCCAATCATTGACGACAACAGGGACCCACTCACCCTGTAGAGTGCTCATAATCAGAGTATGCCCGATGATCAATATGCTATTTATGTTGACAAGACATAAATACAATACAGTAAACATCAGCAGTGACTAAATTAAAGAATCTGGAAGCAGAAACCCAATAGTGTACAAGATCTGATTAAGAGGTTAATCTTTGGTGTTCTACAATTACATTAATGTTTGGTATTGTTCTTTTTGCTTAGCATATTAAGTCTTGCTTTAAGGTCAAGTTTATTGCTATAAAATTCTATGCCTTTAAACTGTACTGCTTCAAGAATATTTGATAATGTAATTGAAACCAATTGTGCCAGGGTGACACTCCAGTTCCTTTACCATCTGATAGTTTTGTCAATAAAGCTAAAGTACTTCAATTATTTTTAAGACACAATCCCAATAGTTTTATTCCAATTTTCAACTACACATGCATTGCAAGTGTGCACAAATTCAATAATGGAATATGACCTGCAAGAACATTACCAGAATACAGAAGCGAACAGTGTAGATGCCCTCCTCATTGTACTCCGGAGTAATTATCACTTCTGATACTTGTGAAACCTCTGTCAAAACAGCAACAGCACTCAAAAACCAACAATCGCCCAATCGACCCTATTAAATTGGCAGGCAAAGACAAATTACAAAGACTTGAACCACTAAAATAACTCTCAACAGAATTCAGCAGAAAAATGGGACAGAAGAAAACAGTGTGGAATATTAAGCTCATAAAGGATAAACCTGACAAACATCAGAAGGATTTGCGGCCCCAGAAAACAAGCATGGACGAGAATCTGAATGACCTTTAACAATTTCACCGGGTCTCATCCATTCCGAAACAACCTAGGTCAGAAAGCAAAGATAAGTTACTAATAATGAAATAACCATAAGAAACAGCAATGACTTAGTTGGGAAAATACCTGCAATTTTGGTGGTGGTGGACAGTTTATGAAACATAAGACTTACAACGAACCTTCTATCAATGGGGTGTCAGGTTCTTTGGAAAATGGAAAAAATCTCAAATGGGATTTTGCGGGTCTTTTCAGCCCAATCGGATGGCAATTGAGATTCTTTTTCTCTAATTAAAAAAATCTTTGGGTCTACTTTTAATTTCAAGTGGGTTGGTTCTGATAATCAATGTAAGTTTCAGTTAATTCTTAAAAAAACAGCTGGAAGTGATTAGATTGCAGAGGAATCTGTTATAGTTCAAGATAATTAGAGAAGAGTTTGAGAATGAGAAATAGAGAAGAAAGGATTTTAGGAAATGAGAAAACGATTCATTCATAATATGAGGAATCAATCCTTACAGCCAGTCTTATTTTGTTACAAGGATAGAAATGTAAATAGCAAATAATGCCAGTTGGCGTTACAGTTATAACAAACTGATTCTATCTTTCTCTTTCATGTTATTGGGCCACCATTCTTGGGCTGCTTCAACTCTGTTTGGGTCTGGAACTCCACTAAATCCAATGCCTCCTGAACCGGTTCAGCTGTACGCATCATTTGAAAGGGTAAATGCATCCTTCCCTCTTCTTCAATTGCAATCCCTAATTCCCCTCCTCCCATTCTTTCTCTCGCTTCGAATCCCAATTCACCATCCTCAATCCCTAACCCTAGGCCTCATCTTTCCCCAATTCCTTCGTTCTCTTCGCCCTCCTCGTTCTCTTCCCTCTCATCTCCACCAACTGTAACAATACCCGCCGCTGGAATTGATCCTTGTCCCCAAGGATCAAACTCTGGAAACTGTCTTCGAAGAACAATATAGTCCTCCCACGAATCACTGGTTTCATCAAGGTTTCTCCATCGTACCAGCAACTGAGATACAGGTTTGTTATGTCTATTTATTATTCTTCTGCCTATAACCTTATATGGCTCAACGCGAATCTGACCATCATCATCCATTGCAGGAGGTTCCGTAGAAGAAATGACCAAGTCACCCACATGTTTCTTGAGGAGACTGACATGAAAAACTGGATGCATTCTAGAAGAATCGGGTAAGTCCAGTTTATATGCAACTTCACCAATTTTCTCAATAATTTTATAAGGACCATAATACTTTGCTGCTAACTTTAAATTTTTTCTTAGGGCCAGTGAAGTTTGGTGATAGGGTTGCAACTTCAGGTAAACACTATCCCCTACTGCAAATATCCTCTCTGTCCTCTTTTTATCTGATTGTTGTTTCATTCTGCTGCTGGCTTGTTCTAACTGCCACTTTACCAACTGTCTAAGACTCTCTCTGCTAGTCGTTAACTCATTAACAGACTGCACTGTAGTTTCTGTCTGCCAAACTATAGTAGGAGGTTTATAACCATATAAAGCTTGAAATGGTGTCATCTTTAGGGCAGAGTGATATGTAGTGTTATACCACCATTCTGCATGTGGCAACCATTTAGCCCACTACTTTGGTTGAAAAAAACATAGGCCCCTCAAATATTGTTCTAAACACTGATTCACCCTTTCTGTTTGACCATCAGTCTCTGGATGGTAAGCAGTGCTAAACAATGTCTTAGTCCCTAACTGCTTCATCAGTTCTCTCCAGAAGAGACTAGTGAATGTTTTGTCCCTGTCAGAAATGGCCATTTTAGGCTGGCCATGAAGTTTATAAACAGTATCCAAATATAATTTGGCTACATCAGCAGCAGCATAGGGATGTGACAATGCTAGAAAATGACTGTATTTTGTAAATTTGTCAACAACTACCAAAATGCAATTTTTCCTCAAAGATGTAGGTAATCCCTCAATAAAATCCATAGTAATGACCTCCCAAGCTTGGTGAGGAATAGGAATTGGTTGTAAAAGTCCTGGTTTAGCAATATGCTCCACCTTTGTTTGTTGACA